ATCACGGAACGCGCCGCGCTCGACAAAATAATCGTCCGTGCGAAAAAGAGTGTCGCAAAAACGGATAGTCGCTATTAAAAACGCGTCGGACAGCTTTGATCGGACTTGAAGCGAAATTGATCTACGGATCAAAGTATCGAGATCGGCGTCTCGGAAAGGAAGCTAAATAAAATATTATTTTATCTTTTCGGCGGATTTTTTTTGTCATTTTTTCCCCTTCGTTATGCACGGAGTATTAATCAAAATTTTTTGACCTCACTGTTAATTCTGTAGTGTCAAATTTAACTTAATTTAAGTCACCCCTATTCCTGCTCAATATATCGTTATTTTATAGTGTCAAATTTAATCATTGTTTTAGTATAAAATAACGATATGAGGAGCAGACTTTCGAAATGCGTTTTGTTCAAAATTTGTAATTTTCAGAAAAACGAGAAAGAAAGAAACTACATATTTTACAGAAAATAGCAATATGTCAATCCAAGTAGGATGAAATATTAAATAAAATTGCTAAACAATTGTTAAAAAGGTTAAACAAATACATTTTGTTTGTTTTTAAAAAGCATAATTAGTTAAAATGCATTTCGAAATATCTGTTTTTTCAGCATATAAATTTCAGCACGTAATGATGAAAAAATGCTTCCTGAATATCTTAGAGTAGCTTATAATATAAGTTATTCAACACTGAACACTACGCCATTTCTAACTATCTCTAAAAAAAATGAAATTTTGTACAAAACGCATTTTGAAAATCTACTCCTCATGTATCGAATACAAGCAGTGGCAATTTAAATTACGTTAAACTTGACACTATAGATTTAACAGTGCTATTAATTTAAATGAGTCCGTCGTTTCACAATAAAGATGCCGCCGCGTATGCTAGCCGTGATGTCGAGAGTGTATGGGTCCTGTACGCTCCGGTTACAAAATAATATATGCAACGTGAGAAATCACGATCCGGCTAAGCGTTGCTCCACCCTCTGAGCCTGCTTTCCCGTTTCAATTAGTACTCGCGTACTTTGGTTACGGATAGTGTAATCATAGTTTACAATTAACCGCTCTGCGTCCTCTGTCCTCGTTAAAAATCTTAGACATCAACATACATTCACATTTTTTTTTTATTTTTATAATAAACCGTTATTAGAAACCTATCCTCGTATTCGCTATGCACTTTAATATAAATTTCATCGTGTTTTACCGTTTATTTAATCGTTAATTTGTTTATTTACAGTGACGCGTATCTATTCGAAATTCGCTTTATCCTCTTTCTTTTTTACTCGTTAATTAATTAATTAATTCATTACAAACCGCGTGGCCGTGCTTGTCAGCGCGGCAGATATTTTACCTTCGATCTCGAGAAGAGAGGAACAAGTCTTCGTTTTTTTTTTCCCTTTTCTTTCTTTTTAACGCGTGAGAACGCACGCGGCGTGCCCCTCTCGTTGGCGAGACAACCGCGCGCGAGCCCCGCATCCTTTCTTGTTCTCTTGCACACGCACACGAGTGGATGATTACGTAAGTGAAGTGGCATTACCGAACGTAATAGCAGACGGGGAACTCAGACCTCCTCGGGATGGACGTGAAGCGTATCCTGTTCTCGTTTTTCCCTTCCTTCTTTTTTTTTTTTAAATTCTACCTCGGACGTTTATTTACACGCGTTTAAATTGCATCGACAGGTCCGCGGATCGCGCGGACCGAAATATAGATCTGACTCGTTAATACAGGCGGCGTCGAATCCTCCTCGCGTACAATTACACGCAAACGTTACATCTATTTACATACGTTTCTGAACAAACAAACCCACCGCAGATGCGTTCTCTCTATCTGCTGTTAAAAAAATACATTTTCTTTTCCTCATTCGGGGCAGCAGGACGCCTCACGTCTCGCGGTCTGCGGCACGGATGTCCGTGGGTGTATAACGTGGTATTGGACGTGATGGATGGATGATGGAAACGAAAAAAGAGAGGGGAGTAAAATAAAAAAAAGAGGGATAAGTTTGCAGTGAGCGACCTTGTCTATTTTCTATATCGAATAATTCGAGTCTATATTATTGTTATAACGTATTCACTTATATCGTCCGCGCGAATGAGTACCCAGCGTGTACTATGTGTGAATCCATGTACCCTTCTGATCTTTCGCCCTTCGCGTGCGAACGATCGATCGAGCGGCGTTGTGCTCCTGTTATTCCTCGTCCGCACTTAAAATAAATTCGCGATCGACTGTTTCGTGACACTTTCACAATTCACGTAATAATACAACTGTGGTGCAACGAACGAGCGCGTCCGTTCGTAAAGAAATTCGAGGTTCCGTAAAACGTGTTACGTATTTTCTAAATCTCGTAAAGTAAAATCTCACTCGAAGAGACTGAAAATTTAGACTGTCTTGAAAAAAAAGTGAAAATACGGCCACTCTTGTTCGAGATTTTCCACTCTTTTTAAAGTGAGGTTCCATCTACCTTGGTATTACACTTCAAAAAAGGGATTGAGATTTCACTCCTTCGAAGTGAATCTCATTCTAAAAGAGTAAATCTTACTTTAAAAAGACCGAACAAGAGTGGCTGTCTTTTCACTCTTTTTTCAAGACTGAACAGACTAAATTTTCAGTCTTTTTGAGTGAGATTTTACTCCATGAGATTTAGTAACTGCAACTACTCTGGTTGAAAGATGCCGATAAGTATCCTTAATATTGATAAATATTCATAGCTTAAATGAATATCTAAAGGATCATTAAGATGCAATAATTATATATTATTAATGACATATATATGTATATTAATAAACATATGATTGAGAATGAATGATGAATTATGCTAATAATTATGATAATAATTGCATCAGCACATTTCAACCAAAGAAGAATATTCATAAATAACATAAATAAGTCGTTATTTGACAAATTTCAAATATAATAATGATTGTCCGCGAATACATCTTACTTAATATTCGCTTATAAACGAGACGTGAGTTTTGAATCGACGATCAATTGGAACCATAAAAAGATTTTATCGACCAGCTCGCTCGTCGCTAATTGCTGTTGCAGCAACAAAACAGAAGTGAAAACTACAAACCAATGATGGATGGCGCGTGACACTCAGACTTACAATACTGCTGAACTTTTGTTTATTCACAAACGTATTGTTTTCAGTTGACTGCAGTCATTCGCTGCTCTCGCGATCGTAGATGCGAATGAGGACGATGAACTATGAATGGATTTCCGAAAGCGAATCGGTCATGTCGAGTAATCTTCAAAGTAATGATTCTCTCATTTCGCTACTTAAGATTCTGAATGAAGATTTCTTTCTTCTATTTTCTCTCACATGCACGCAATCACGCATTCCCTCGCTACGGTACTCATTTCCCGTGTAATTCGTATTTACAATAATTCGTTAGTGCAATCGCACTCGCAATTGTATTTTTTTGTGGACACGAACGAAAAAGTACTCACTGCTTCGTCTTCCGTCCACGCACGCACACGTGGATGTCATGCGGAAGATGAATCCACGAGTGTGTATACATGAAACGTGTACACGCACAAGTCTTTTTCCCTGGTAATGTGAATAAATAAAATAATAAAAAAAAAGGGAAATGTAGAAAAGGATCAATATAAATCGGGAACATGATTGAACTGATTAGGCACCATGTATAAGTGTGAACAGAAACATGATTCGTATGCTATGAACAAAATGAACAACGAGGGAAACAATAAACGACGGGGGTAAGGGAGGGTTGGCTCCGGGGGTTCGTTCGTGCCGCGATTACCGCTCCACCCCCGGTGCCGGCAGTACGTTAATTTGTTCGCTATTAAATTTGATATTTCACTAGCAAATATAGAATATCGAGTGTTGAATATTCGTTAGCGTAATGATAGCGGATAATAAATATAATACAGATCTATAGATAGAAGTCTCAGTATAATACAGCTATTATACAAATCTGTCTTTTACTCGATTTCGCGATTCATTTTCTCTCGCACAATATTCGTTCGCTCGTTTCTTTTTCTACGCTACTTTTCTTATCCAACGGCTCGAATCAACGATATTATACGCTATCCTTGACTCGTGACAATGATGCAATTAGATCTGTCATGACAGAAATTCGCCTAAGTTCGTGGCTCGCGTCGATTTGTTTAATGAGCACATATACTCATATCATAATTGCATAATGCACATACACGCGCTTACATTTTCTCTCCGATCCACGCTCTTTCTCTTTCTCTCTCTCTCTCTCTCTCTCTTTCTCGTTTCATATTATAAGATTTACCTAGAAATACGGCACTCTTTCTTAAATCTCCCCGGCCCCCCTGTTGCCCGTCGGCATACAAGGCGGCCACAAGAGCCACTTGTACATATTCATTAGGAATTTATTTACACGCGTGCTAACTATCCTACTCGCGATCTCGCATGCGAATTCGAATGATCCTTCGTCCTCGGCGTCCTGCGATTGGCCGGGCGGCCGCGGCGATCGGCCCGAACTTAAACGCCGCATGAGAGACACGATTAATTCCAGACGATTCCTCTTGACTTTTCAAGCTTTCGCTCGATACGGATCGTCTATTCATCGAGGAACTACGGCGCGTCGTATTGACGATTTCGAGTCCATATAGTATCTCTATGAGGTTTTTCCGAAAGCCATTCGCGATAGGATCGTGATCATTTTTCACCGGATTATTACCGCCTTGGCCGCGAACCGAAAGCATTCAAGGATTTTCAGGTACTCTTTTCTCGAGGCACGGCGCGCTCGCGTGATCGCGCTCAGGATAAACTATTTCCTTGCCGGCCCCGAGCGAGGACCCCTTAACGAAGGACCGTTCGTCGTCGATGGCTGAGCCCATGCGGCATTTTTCCATGAATTAAACATTCGCTCGAATTAATCACGTGCGATCTGACGTTATTCGCGTACATAGGCTTACTATACTTAATATATAATAGACGTCCTTCTCTCGCGTACACTTCTCGCTTTCGGTCGAGGATACTTAGCACGCTGCCACGACTTCTGCTCACATCTCTCTTTCTCTCATATTTGAATAAATACCTACAGTTAGCGTAATGATAAGAAGGACAACCAATACGACTACCATTTATAGTAGTGATAATAGTGGGCGTGTACTATAAGTAGTGTCTAATAGTAGCGCTTCTCTTTCCGTCTTTTCTTCTCCACTTTCTTTCCTACTTCCCGTCCTATTCCTCGTCTTCATCTTAGAGAACCCCGCTAGTTCTTTAATTGTAGTTAATATGGCGCTGCCGCTCGTGTGTCGTGCATGTCTCTTCTCTTGACGTGTCTCTTCTTTTTCGTCTTTTTTTTTTCTCTCTCATTCTCTTCGTCTTTTCTGTCTTCTCTGCTATCTCTCGAGTCGGCGCGACCATGGATCGTGCGTGTCTCACTACGATCGAGGGACGGCCGAGATACGCGCGTGTCTCGCGCGCCTCTCAAGAAATCAATTAAACGTAGGATAATCACAGAAGAAGGGGTTTCGACGCATGGGATATACGACGTTCTCGTACGTAGCTGGTATTGTCGCTTCACCGTAGCAGCTGCTGCAGTAACGCGCTCATCAGCAAGCTACCTGTCGCTAGGATTAGGCTCGTGTACCGAACTTGCGTATGAGCGTACGAACTTGCGCTGTTGTATGTCAGCTCCTCATTCTTCACCACTTCGTTCGGATGATCCGAATATTCCTCTGCGAAACACAAAAAGCAAAATAATTATCAACCATTGATAAGATACATGACATCCACACAATGGAGTATTAAGGAACATAAATTTTACGATTTGTTAGTAATAATAGAAAAACGTTTTTCTTGAGAAAAAAGATTGAAAAATAAAGGTAGGTGAAAAGTAGAATTATCTATTATATAACTATACATTTTATTCTTTTTATCCTTTATCTATTTTAAATAATCCATTGCATCATTCAAGTTCAGTATTCATAGTCAAGCTCAGTATTATATTTAAAAATTGTTTTAAGTACAATCTCAGAGTTGCCACAGAAAATTAATTTTAAAATTCCCTGAAAAAAACTTTTTCAAGTTTTCCAGATGAAAATGGGAAATTTTCATGATCAATATAAAGTATGTAAAAATTTTAATATTATAAAATATGTAAAAAATTTTAACATTTAGAATCAAGGATTGTAAAAAAGCTACCTTATATTATTAAAAACATAAAAGAAGCTTAATAGCACAATAAAATTTTGTCAAATTCAAGCCAATAAAAAATTAATTAGTATTATTGGAAAAAAGAATACATATGACAAAAAATGGCGATCAGATAAAATTACTAAATAAAATATAAATTGTTATTATTTTTTAAAAATCGTGTAAAGTGCACAAGTTTTGAACGTATTTGACTATAAACATCAAATATAATATTATATTTAAAAAATTATAAAAATTATTTGGAATAGAAGCAGTTTGGAATAGAAGGGAATTGTGAGCAAAGTTCAAAATTCCAGTCTCTTTTATATTTTTTCTTGACTTTTCCCGGTTTTCCATGGCCAATTTCAAGTTTTCCCGGCAACTCTGAATCTCTTTTAAGATGTTATAAATCAATCACAGATTCGTATTAGCATCTTATGATATTACTTAAAACGGTTTTAAAATAAGAAAATTAATTAATTTAATCAAATTTTTAAGAAGACAAATTAATTTGTTCAACCTTTTATATGTTTTAATCCACGATAAAGATGAGGGGTTTGCCAATGGGACAATATCTTGAGATGTGCCGCCAAGGACATCCTTGTGTGGATGTTCAAGCTGCATCTCAAATTTTAATGGTTATTACCATATGCGGAACCACGAGAGAGAAACGAAATCCCTGGCAATTTCGTGTCAACACCTTGGTGTATTCCCTATCGTGCCGCGTCTTGGAAACACCGTTAATGTGTGAGTGACGATCCGTGCACGGCTTATCGGAGAAATGCAAATGCGCGCGTACGTACATTTAGAAGTCAAATTATATCGTGGATGTCAATGCAAAGAAAAAGGGCGTGCAGTGCCGAGATCGACAGATGGTTTTCGTTCGGTTTTCATTCGATTGGATCTTAACATTGCGCTTCACTGACCTTCCACCTGGCATATGTAAAAGCGCGCATATTTACGGCGCGCACTTGCAACTAAATGTAGCGATATGGCTCTTAACGTATTTCGCACATAAATGCGATGTCAAATAGATATGTAAACCTGTCTAAACGTGCTCTCTTCATTTTAAGAAATACGTAATTAAATAAGAATAAGGAAATCCTCGTGTCAGTTATGAATTAAAGAGAAAATGAGCTAGAATAAGCGCGGAAAGTGAGATAACTCGGAAGAACACAATTTGCAACTGACTAATACTGACAATAACTAACGGCGGTCATCATTATTACCTGTTTCTACTATAATTTACTCTGGATATGCCGCAGATAGTCTAGTATTATGTAGATATAACCGTTCGCTCATCATAGATACTCAGAGTGAAGCGCAAGTGTGTATTAAAAGAAATTCAACTGATACAGCGAACATTATCATACTTCGACTGTCAATTAATATCGATTTGAAACGGTCATTAATAATTACCGATGTATCTCATTTCCGTAAACATATTCTCCAAATTCTTTGGAATGGAATTCTCTAAAGAGAATTGAAAATTGAGCCATTCTTGGAAAAGAGTGGTTCAATTTTTAAGAGTGAGATTCACTCTTCAGTATAAGAATTACTTCAAAAGTTTTAAAGAGTACATATATGACTAAACTAGGCCAAATGCTTCTTGAGCAAACAAAAAGAAATCGGGAATGGATTAATCTGATGAACTAATCGATGATTCCATTGATTTTCGGACTGGTATGAGTCGCTATTAAATGATTTGGATGAAATATAAGGCACAAAAGTGAGAGAAAGTGCTTTAAAATGATATTCCATCGGGCAGACGAGACAGGCACGCAGCGTGTATGGTGACGACGTGATACGTACTGTTCTTCTTCTTCTGACCGGTCGAAGTCTTGGGCGGCGTGATCGAGGACGGCGATCCATTGTAAATTGGCGGCTGCGGCTGATGCGGATGCACAGGGTAGACGGCCGGTGAGGGTACATGAGGCAGGGTCGGCGCCGCCGTGCCTGGCTGATGTGGATCGAGATCGATGCTGATCTCCGGGTAGAATCGATCTCCGCCCCTGTAGACGATTGGCGGGGCTGGCAGACCGGCGGCGGAGCCGCCCAAAACCGCGGTACTTGTCGAGCTGCTGCTGGGCACGGTGCTGCTGGTCACGGCTACGGCTGGAAAATGGACGACATGGTATTAGATGATTACGCATCAGTTCTTTTCTGTATCCTATGCCCGACTCGATCGCAAAGATGCATACAACAATACAGGATATATATCGTTTTATCCTTATTGTTCACCGAATGTTAAACAAGGATAGTCGAACGCAACCCAGAGTCTAGAAATAACCGGCGACGGTTGAAGAACGACTTCTACATGAACTGCTTCTACATGACTTAGTAGATTGAAAGAAGAATTCGTGTCGTTACGCCGAAATAGCCGCTTGAAGCATGACGCTTGAATATCTTATCGCTGAGAACATCTTAGAACTTGGAACGGTGGTTCTTCACCAACACTATGATTATGTGAGTAGGAAGAATCGTGTTGCGAGTGTTAGTAAATAATTGTATATTTTTAAAGAAAGGATTTGTATGCAATTGATTATAAAAATGTTTATTTTAAGAAAAGTACTTTGAGAAAGTATTTGATATTATTGCAAAAGGTTTACTTCTATGTCTTCATAGTTATCATTTAAATATATGCAAGTTCTTTTATACGTTGAAATAATATATATTTTTAAATATGTATAAAATGACTTCACATTACTGATTTTCCTAGTCATACTAAATATTTAAATTTTACAATATGAAAAATGGAATTTCTTTTAATCTCCAAAATAAAAATCGCTGTTAAAACACGCTGAAAAAAATTCTTAAATCAGTTTTAATGTAGAAAAAAGTACAGATAAGTTTCAGAAACTGTGATTAAATGCAGAGAGAGGCACCTTCGTCATCTTCACACTTTCCCATCGCGAAGGCCTACCGATAGCTCTCCGCGTTATTCTGAGCGTACAACTTGGCGCTGTACCTGCTAACCCCTCGGAAATAAAACTCGCGACCGAGGAGGTACACGCACCCCCCGGCGATATAATTGTGTGGAAGTAGCCGCGCGCGAACTCTCGACGTCTACCGTGAACGCGAGGTCGAGTCTCGCCATGGAATCTTCAATGCTCGAGATGCTACAGAGAGAGGAAGAAAGAAAGAGAGAGAGAGACAGAGAGAGAGAGAGAGAAAGAGAGAGAAAGAGTTCAGAGTTCCCGGCCGGCAAAATAGCTGGTCATTATGGCGCATGAATCGTCTCTGCTGGGGCGGAGGTGGCAGGAAGAGAAAAGGGGGGAGGCAAGAGGGGGACCGAAAGAGCGGGAGGACGCTTCGAGGATGCTTCGGAACGAATTGGGGAGAGAATAGCGGGGCGAAATGAAATGGTAGAATTTATTGTGCCCCGGGACACAGAATTGGTCCCCCCCGGCCGCAACAAATGATGCACGGTAAGAATTATAATCGATAGGGATTATTTAAGAGAGAGACGGCGGGACAGATGACAGGAGGAGAGACAGAAGGTGAGAGGTAGGATAGGAGGAAGGACGAAGAGAAAATGAGCTCGAAAGGATGACGAACGAAGGATGAGTACAGCCTGCTATGGTAGCTGTTCCTCTCACGTAACTGATTACGGGATAATGAATTTATAGACCATTTCTGTTCCGTGCTCCTGATTCTTCTTTCCATTCTCTATGTTTTTTTTTTTTTTCGGAGTATGTACCTTCGACAGAGATCACGCGGAACGAGAAAGCGTGAAGAGTTAAGAGTGTGATTTACACGCGGAATGAAAAGGCGGTGTCCCTCATGCAAACGACACCTGTAATTTTAGATTATGATAATTGAGAAATTAGAATATAATTGCCGCGCGAATTGTGCCTTCCATGGGAAGAAGAGTCTGCGTTTCGGATACCGTTTCACGGGCGATGCAATGCAAATGAAGAAACGCACGCGAGTGAACTCGCATAACGAATCGTCACGCGAATTGTGTTCGCGGAGAATAAGTTTCCGTCTCTCGAATCTTGGAGAACAAAGAAAATCCGTTTCTATTCGATATCTCAAAGTTATATTTCGGAATAAAATAGAATTTTATATTCCCATATTAGAAAAAAAGTCTAGTTATATTAAATGGAATTTTGATGGATTCAATTACATAAAGAAATACTTATAGTTAAAACAATCAACATTCTAATCAAGATAATCGTATAAAAGAAACAATTTTCTAAATTAATTAAAAAATAAATTAAAAAAAAAATTAACTTAAATTAACTAAGATTAATTAATCTAATCTAAGTTAATTAAAAAAAATACAAACCAAAAATAATTTCATTGAACCATCAAAATATTTATAAAAAAAAAGCTCAAATGTGATGAGCAACGCTGCAAAAAATTTTAAACTATAGCTAAATTTTGATATACTTCAGTACCATTTTTTTCATGCAGAAATTTAATTATAACTTTTAGGAATTCTGGTTGGTATGATCAGAATGCATTTTGTTCATATCTTTTGTCGATACAATCAAAACATTTTTCTCAGTATAATGCTTACAAGCGTTTCATAAGTAAAAAAGAATTGGAAATTGGAACAATCTTCCTTTCTTCTCATAAATCAGCTTTTATACTTTTCACACGACATGTCTATCCTGAATACTTACAGTTGTTGCGCGATGTCGCCGACGAAGCGGAGGTCTCAGCCTCATTGCTGCAGCAGACCTTGAAGACGACCTTCATGTTGTGGCTGGTGCACCGTCCGCCAATGCGCCTGTGAAGGTCATCCTTGGACGAGGTGCTGATGAAGTAGTAATCGTGGCCCGGGAGGAATTCGAGGCCCCCAGGTTGCGGCGTAAACGGCCTAAACGTGATGGTAAAGTACATCGTTTTGCGCGGCTTGTCGCACACTGCTATTACCCGCGGACTCGGGTTCGTTATCCGACATGTTTCGTACTCCTCCTTGGACACCTGCAAAACGTCCAAGAGAAATCTTGCGGTCAATTGCGACGGTATAATCGATCGGCGACACGGGACGACACGCGGATCGGCGACACCGATCGCTGATTGACTACTGTGAAAGGTACCATCTTAGCGTTTCCCCCCCAGCGAACTGATTCCCGTGCTCTTCAGCAGAAGAGGGCTTCATTGTCGGAGCTAATCGTCGTTAGCTAACACTCGTCTAGGACGAACGGCGGAGACAATGGAACAACGGATGGCGGAGAGTGGAGGGACAATCAAGTGGATCGAAACGATTAGGTCGCCGACGACGCAGGAATGGTCTTTGGGAGGTTTTGCTTTGCTCAAGAGGGTGGACGCCACCAGAATGTTTGATGGCGTCCATGAAAGCCGAGAATCTGCCGCGGTATCCTGAATTGGTTATCGGGAGAATAAACGTTTGTAAAAACGTATCAATCGGGAATGCAGTGTCAGATTTTCGTCTTGGTATTAGCGACAGCTTTTTTTATCAGAATTAACTTTTAGCCAAAAATAATCGGAAAAAATCTCCGTGGCGAATAAAAATAAGCGGCAAAAAAATAAATTCTAACTAAAAAAGTAGAAAAAATATAGAACTTAATCTTTTTCATCTCAAAATCACGCATTAAATCGAGTTTAAAAATAGTGAAGGAGATCGTGAGATTGCCCAATGTGCTTATAGATATTTATATACGTCCAATATTTCTTTCAGTTTATCAATAAATCTATGTTTCGGTATGCTTGCTAAAGAGCGGATGTCGTTTTGGATGTATAACGAAAGCGGGTTAAAGAACCAGTTTCAAGTAGCAGCTGTCTAAACATTCGCAGACTCCGATCGACAATTTCTTACGTCCAATATGACTGAAGTTGTCATAGACATCATACGTTATGATTTTGCATCTAAATGCATCGAAGAGGAAGGTTGCATTAATTCGGCTATCGATATTAAGATAAATATTACATAAAATTAACTTACGTTGTAGATGATGTACTTCTCAGCATCGTCATCAACATACGTGTCCGGTGGATACACAGGACATATTATATTGACTTGATCGTATTCGAACATTGCGTTGTTTTTGTTCACGTCAATTATATGATCTGTGTTGTCTATTCGAAATCTGTAACATAAAAAAATCAATAAGAAGAGATTAATAAAATTCTTGATTAAGGGAACAATTTTTATCTATGACGTTGCGCAAACATAAATTTATCTTATACTAATACCAACGATAAGTAAGAGTTTCATCACATCATTTATTCGATGAACTTTCCTTATCCGATTGTTATCTATATTGGGAGTAAATATTTCTCTTTAAATGAAACGATTACTAGCAAATGCATGTTTGGAGAGACTACACATGAAAATTTTTACACATGATTTGCTGTAAATATATCTCTTTTAAAGTCTCGGAAGCGAACGTTTCTCGAAGAAGATCATATTTCTCGCAGACTATGGCGATGCAACGCATACCGTCGTTTCCGTGCAGCAAGTTCCAGGACTATCCGTGAAACATTCGCGAGATACCGACGCCTCCGGTGGAGTCTGAGGGGAGAAGCGAGAGGGACTACAGAGACCAGCGTCCCTACGGCCTGTCGGTAGCCAGGTTAGGAAAGGAAGAAAAAGAAAAGACTCGGACTCGCCCTCGTAAGCACCCAACGTCAGATAGGCAGGCACCCATGGTGTCGAAGCATCGCGCAAGTGTACGTACTGGCTCTTGTACAGGATGCTTCAGAAACAAACGCACGATTCTCTTGAACCGACTTGAACTTTCTCGTTAACAAAATGAAAATTCCAACGACTATTCTCTTTTCCCACATTTTTCGATATTGATATCTAAATAATTTAATTTTATATCATACTGAGGTAAAATTTATACAAAATTAAATAAGAGCTCCAGTCATTCTAATCGCTGACAAGTCGAACGTTATTGACGCTTCTACATTGAAGCGATCACGGTTTCGCTTGACTTGGCACTTTCTATCCCGAGCTTGAACACCCTGTACATTTACGCGGGTGCGAGTATGCGCTTAGCCTAGCGATCGTGTACACATACACGTGCACACGTACACGCGCGCGCGCGCGTCACTGCATTATGTAGCGAGTTCGCCGATCAGGATACTTGGGGAGGATGGAAGAACGAAAGGTCGGCGGATGAGCAGTGGAAGAAGAAGAGGAGGTGCAGAGAGAAGAGGTGGCGGACGGTTCCTATATAACCGGTTCTTACCGCGAGCACTCTTGCACACGCTAATACGCGCTCCGTAAGTCGAGGTGTACGCAACAGTGACGTCTCCCTATTCCGCGTCGACCTATTTCGTATTCGCGAATCGGCGAAAACTGCGCCGTCATTCAATAAAATTATATAAGTCGCAAAGAAATTCGAGAAAAATTCAAAGATTCATAGATTGAGAAAAAAAAAATGTAATAAATTCAAATAAATATTTATTTGAATAGCACTAACTGAACATTCACTTACAGTAAATAAATATTTACTCAATAAAAAATGATACTAAATCAAATTAATAGTTTTTCTTGTATCGAATAAATATATGTTTACATTTAGTATTATTACTATGTGAACAAATATTTATTAAAATTTAATTTTCATTTTTAATTCTTTCAATGTACTCAAACATAGGAAGAACATAGGAAGGTTTTGCTAAAGTATTTAAAAATTCAACTAGATATGTATAGATCTGAATATAAATTTTGTTAGATCATCAAAATAATTTATGCGTGTAAGACATTAATAATTTTGATAATATTTAAGAAAATTAAAATTATTTTCAGATTTATACCTTGTAAAATTTTTAAAGTAAAATCGTTTCTTCCGTGTATTTTATAATATTGCACGTTATATTAATATATACTTATAATATATGTGTAATACTTGTTTCTAACTTATTGAATATTTACAGGATATTTTACATATTATCTGTAAACCCACTTAACGCTCGTTGTTTATATCATTATCTATTTTCAAGCAAAATATCCTCTCTAGAAAATATTTATATTTTATGCATACACGAAGATACCTTGTCTCGTTACTGGCAGTCCGCGATTTCGTCGAACGGTATTGCATATTTCACCGCGTTGCGAACGCTGGGCGTTGTACCGTTTTTTACTTACGCGAGCTTCTCGATTCCTCGTTCGTTCAACGTTTAAGCCGTTTATAGATGCACGCACTGTCGAACGCGTCTACTTTTTGCGCGTGCATTCACGAGTGCGTCCAAGCCGCGATGTGGAGCTTTACACGAGTATATAACCGTATTTATTCTCTGTTTCTCGCTCTTTCTTACGCACATTTGCCTTCGCGCTGGTAGCGCACAAGTTTCTTACGTGTTTAGAATTTATCCGAGAGCTGGCAACACGTACACATTGCACGCATGGTAAAGTGTACAGGTATTTTTGTTGTTTATTCTCTCTCATGCTATCTCATGTGCGCTTCCGCGGTTGGATCTCGTACAATCAGCCACGGACGATATGAGCCGCAAATCGTACTTATCTTTTTCTAGTATTTAAGGTTTTGTTATCAACCTCAAATCACCTAAATATCAAAATCATACGATATATTTTATTATTTCTGCTTTGAAAATGGACGAACAGAAGATTCCGATTATATTAATCAGAATTCTGATTATCTCAACTAGAATTTGGTAGATTTCACCAGAAAATTCTAATTCGTCTATTTTCAATTAGAATTTTAATTAATTCAACCAGATATTTTTCTCAGTTCATATAGAGTTCTTTTGATGAGATTTAAATAAAAATTTTTTAATAATTCTATGCAAGTCTGTTGGACAGAATTTCTGTCCTATTTTTCTGTTGGATTTATTTCGTTAAATTTATTTTCCTGATTATGAAAATATAGATATGGGGAAACCGATAATTTTGGATTTATCCCCTTTTGTTCTTATTTATTCTAATGAAATCGTTAGTTTTTTTTTAATTTTTTATTATAAAATTTAATTCGCCTCCTCAATATTATAAAACATATAACATATATTTATAATTCCGCATATATATAAAATTATATCTTTTCATATTATATTATTTTTTAATACAATTTAAATAAAATTTTCGGATAATCTTATTCGAAGCTTCGATTTATTTCGTTAAGCTTGTTTGCCCGATTGTAAAAATACAGACATGACGAAACCGATTTACTCTCTTCTGTTCTCAGCTACAAAATTATGATGAAGTGGATCGATGGCAAATTTGTCAAACAATACGAACCACAAGTTTGATACAAACCACAAATTTGATATAAAGCTCCTCACACACGAAAGGAATAAGCATTTCTCACGCGCGTGTATGTATACCACGCTTGTCACACGGGAGACGTGCACGACGACGCTGTTAGAGGGAAATGCGGGCGTCGAATATACGCGTCCCGACGTTTCAGAGCGTTAACGGACAATCTCATAAGTGGGCGTGTAAGGGCTCGAAAATTGGAAGGTAGGCCGGACCTCGGCCAAATTAACGTTTGGCGATAATATCCGCTCCCTCTCGCTCGTCGTCTCTCTTCTTCTCTCCTTTCCGCTTTCTCTTCGCTATATCCTCCATTCTGGGATCGATCGGACCCGATGGTACTCTAAGCGCAACAACGACCCAAGAGCGGTGCGCGCACGAGGACTCCCGGAACACGCGTACCCACGCGTGCATGTGCGTGCATGTGCGTGCACATGCGGAGGCACGTGTGAGAGCGCGCGTGGGCGTATAGGACGTTTCGTTCACGGCGTGGCCATTCACGAATTTATTAGAGACCGTATATGTACGTGGCAGCCCGAATTACTCGTGATAAAAACGTATCGTTCTCCTTTCACCTCGTAGTTTCTCGACTTCCTCGAGAGCAAGAGGTTTTCAGGTTGTCGTCGTCGTTGTCGTCGTGGATAATGTACGCGGAGGTGGCGATACGAGCGAGAGCAGCTTAATTCACCGTTTTCGAAACATGTAGTCTCAAACGTGTTTAACTTTTCGCCCCGCCCGCAACGTTCGGTTCCTCTCTCTACGGTGGACTTTTTACTCGTCTGATTATTGCCATCGCCGGGTTAGGAACCCGATGAGTGGATCCGTCGCGTCTTCCTCTTAATCGCGAAAGTTCGACGGTAATCTGGCCTTTTCCCGGCCTCGTCCCGCCGCTCTAGCGTTGACGTTCTTTTTTTCCTCTCTTCTTTCTTGAACATCATGGGTACCATGAGCTATAAAAGTAAGATCGCTCTTTCTCTTCTCCATTCTCCTCTTTTAGCCGCTACAAAGAACGATTCTTCTATACGTACACATCGGTCGCGTCGGCCGGATGTGTTATTGGTAGTCCCGATGTGTGATTTAAAGGATCTCCCTCCGGGGAAAGGTGTCATTTGCATATACCTACGTATTCGTAGGATCCCTCGAGTACCCCTCGTATTAATGTGATACCTCGCCTCGATTCTTAACAGTTCTTTTCTGGCCTTAGGTAAACACTCGGCATGAATATGTATGCCACCTCGCCGGTGACCCGTTCGAGGTTTGAAAGTACCACGCAATGGACATCGAGCCCTGTTTCATAGTCGCGTGTCTCTATGCGATCGCTATATAGGATTGTCCTAACGATATATTATTGAGCGCTTGTATTATTCGGTGATTCTCAACTCGTTGCAATAGAGAATAACGGTGCGTTGGATGATAGGAAAACGTGATCGCCATCTCTCTATTGATGCAGGTAGCTAAGTATGAGATATTGCTGGCTGGAGGAATATTATTTACGATTTAATGCGGGATTATCAGTTTTAATTCCATTCAAAACCAGAGAGTACCTTTTTTAGACTGTCTCGTAAAATAATAATAATCATATGCTAACCGGTCGTTAGTTACGTAGCTTAATCCTAACATTTTTCTGATAATCGTGGCATGCATAAATGTGAGACGTAAACAGTTGAAAGATAAATGGAATAAAATAAATTTAAAATAATGTGAATTGTTAAAAAAATAATAAGGCGAGCGAAAATGATATGCATAATTTTTAATATTACATTATCACCAAGAGACATCGGTCGGACAGCAATCTTCAAGTGATTTCCGTACGAGTGCAAAGTAGATTTGGTCGTCAACACCGCGCCATAACACTCTACCTCTAACTGT